AGGACTATGTTTTAGTCGGCATACCTCCTCAAGAAAAGCTGAGTGAAACACCGAGTTTCAAGCATGCCTGCATTTTCGAGAGAGCCCACGCCAAATGTACTGCATCCTTGCCTGATGCAACTAAGCCACATCCAAAAAAACACGGGGCCAAAGCTTGGACTTTGGAGCAAAGAGACTGACTAGACTGATGGTGGCGTTTAGACCCATAAGTCCACAGGGCATGAGGCAACGGTTTTTTTGACTCCCAGCTGCACTTGAATCTGCCGATGCGGAAACGTGCTTGTCGGACAATTGCAGCTATGGCTTCATCAGAAGGCTCCTGGAAAAAGAATGTATGCTTCCAGAGAAAGACACAGACCTACCCTCAGAGTCAGCAAAAAAGTAGTCTGCAGGGGAACCTAACACTGAAAAGCAAACCAAGCAAAAGCGAGCAGGGAAAATGATGATATATAGTGAACTAGTGAACTATAAGAAATAAACTTCTTGACTTGTCTTGCCTCTTGGAGTTAAAGTAAGTTCCTTTCTCCCGACCGACGCGCACCGACAGCTTGGCCAATGCCCAGGCGACCACCGTCAGCTCCGATGGCGCCAGCGTGGCGGCGACCCGGGGCACCGCCGCAGTGAGACCACGCGCTCCGCACTCAACGCCGCAGCCGGCCTGGGGAGCCGTACAAAGCGGTGATAAGAAAAGCAGGCAGACCTGGGTAGCTAAGAAATAACAGAATACAATTTCATGTAGAAATAGTAGAATATGATTTCATGTAGAGATATATAATATATATTAGAATGTCTTGTGTCTAGTCCTATTGCCAATAACAGTAGATGGTGCTGGTTATTAAAGGCCTTTCTCTAACATGGTGATAACTGTTTACCGACCGTTGCAGAGAATGGGACAGACAAGACCCAAAGAATTTCAGAATGTGGGATGAAGTTGGTACAGCTTTGCCCTTCAATTGTCTGGCTCGCTACATTGAGGCCTCTTTTGTGCATATGGATGCCAAAGACCAAGCCAGCGCAGCTAGATCGTTGCCAGCAAGTTCCGGCATCAATGAAACTGCCTTGGATACAAAGTATCTCACTGTTTGTCACTTGTAAAGCATCGTTTGCATGAAACTGTATGTTGTGCTTGTCTACAATCTGATATTCGGACCTCAAGTGGGAAATGTTGGAGTCTCAGTCGCAGAGCTGGCCCGCCGTGCATAAATCACAGCCACGCTGCTCGATTTAACAGTCTTCCCAACGTGTGGGGTGAACGGCTTGGTGGCGAAAGCCTCAAGTTCTGACAAATCACGGTACACCTCTCACAGCTTCAGGTCAACATGCTGAGTTTCCATTTGCAATCTGTCTTGTAGAATCGAGTTCTCTCTCAACTCGCAAACTTCATGGCCTGCAAATGCAGGTCAGGCTTGGAGATCATTGAGACTTTTGCGCTAAGATATGCAGGGCAAACCAAGTTGTTTCTTTTCAATCACTATGCAATTGTATATTGGCAGTATATAAGCACTTGAAAGAACATTATACCAAGCAGGAACCTAACGAGAGAGGTAAGACGACCAACGGTATAGGTTTATGTAGCGGTGGAGGAAGACGGTCATTCAGTTTTTGGACCGGCAGGTGAGGTGTCTTGAGGAATCAGGAAACATGTTTCTGTCTTCGTATTATGTGAAAAAAAAAAAAACATGATCGAAATATCCAGGGTGGTTGTGGACATTCTTAGTGACCTGATGGGTTAGGTCCAGATCATCCCTCTCAAAAGGGAGGAAATAGACTGGGCATCCGAGCATATCTATTGCCAAGTCTTGTTCACACTCCGGTGCACATGCTTTTACCTAGCCTTTCTTACAAACATCATCTTTACTATGACTGTCCTTCAAGAAGATTGCTTTGTTTACACACCAAGAAACGCCACAGCCCGCATTGCAGTGAGAACATGCACTGTATCGAATCTCCGGCTCTCCTTGTCAAACAGCTCAAGGGCCTAACAAACGGGAAGCAAGGCTTGGCGGCTACTAGCTACTAAGTAGTAGTTACTACTTGCTACTGCTTGCTGCCAGCTACTTTATCTCATTTTGTGTTTGGTATCCTTACTTCCTTTTTACTACCTTAACTTCTAGCAGCTGCAAGCCAGCCAGTCTTTACTTCTTGCTAGCTGGCAGGCGGCTACCCCCCAGGTCAAAAAACAATTACGAAACCAAGAAGGTGCACTTATTGTGTTGTTCTTCGTCAAATCTGCATGCCTGGTCGCCATCTGCAGCGCTGAGGCGCTTCTGGAGCTTGAGCTGCAAACACACTGGCGATTGCTTGGCGCCGAGCAGCAACCTGCATGCGCTGAGTCGCTTAGGGGAGGCCTTGACATGCTTTCACCCGAAGAAGATTGGAAGCAGGAAAGCACATGTGAGTCATGTGAGTCTGTCGTGCTAGTGTACAGAAATCAACTAAAACGTCAGATTGATGGGTTCACAAAATACATATATCCTGGGCACATGTTTTCCAGTGAATGGCCCAGGGACATCAGCACATGAAGGCACCTCCAATTGCTGCGCCCATGGCCTCACAGGACCCAAGGCTTGGATTTTGGCCAAACTCGATAGAGATGACATGGCGCTTCAAACTCTGGGAAATTGACTTTAACTTTCTCCTTCGCAACCTCACCCAACGGCAGTCCCATCAATGCTGTCCACAGCACTTGCCAGACGACGACCACTCATTCTAAGTCTGTAAGGCAGCTATGGCTGCGCAAACTCAAGACGTACTCGCAAGAAAGCAGTGTGGCACGCACAAAATATCTAGTCCACCCTGCCCGGAACCCCTCAGCCCTCAGCAAGCGGTTTTGGCACAAGTGAGCCGGTTCTAAATTGCTCACCTTCAAGCGAAGCAGGAGCAAACCATTTTAGGCTTGCTTCCCTAGAGGTACAGCACGGATTCCGAACAACCAGTCAAAATGGAATCCTTGCAAGCGGCGCAAGCTCTCTTCTCTTTGCCGAATTGCAAGCAGCTGCAAGAAGTTTTTGCAATCTTATGCAAAACGAATTAAGTTCAAATACCTTCCTGCTCCAAAGCTTTCAAACCTTCTCAGACCTCTCCGCCATCGGGGCATTTATGATTCTCCAGCGTCACCTGGCACCCCATCCATGGAGGATAAACAACCCAGTCTACCAACAAATAACCAAACTGATAAATTCGTTACATAGGATCACAGAGTCACACCTACTAGTTCAACTACTTGTTCAACAAGCACCTTTAGAATTGCCTGTTCGTGATTAAAAAACAAACACGGAACTGGTTTCTCGGGATTTGTGGGCAGTTGAAAAGACCGTTCTCGTTCACGGGGTGTTCTGAACCGCTTTGGGGTTTTCTCATGGTTGCAGTTGCAGCGACTACTTCCAAAAACAGCGGCTCTGGTGCATTCTATTACAGAAGGGGTTTAGGAAGAAGAGTCTGGTGAAGCGGCCAGCAACTGCCGTCATATCGAAAAGTTTCGTTGAATGGAGAGGTTTTTGGTCAAGGGTCAATACTCTGCTGCCAAACAAATGTTTGCCGTTTCCATTTCTTCATCTGTCACCCGTACTTGTCACTTCGCCCCTCTCACAGTCCAAAGCGCACCGTAACATCATAAGCATCAGGCTTCACAAGACGAACCATCAGTTTGTCCTTGCACATTGAAATGGTGCCGAGAATACTGTAATGCCCAAATATTGGATTCATGGTCGAAGATTTTCAGGGTCTCGTGCCGTTGCACCAATACCAAACAGAGCTTACCATGACCCGATGCAGTCCAGGTGTTGACTAATTCAGGTCCTTGAACCGTGCGCATCTAGGTTCACCATTTGCAGCCAGCTAGTTGCAAACCCACAAGGATGCAACTTGGTCCTGATCTGAGCAATACTTCACACTGTAGTCGTAGTCGCTCAAGCCACCTCAAGCCAAGGTAAGGCCATAAAAGAACACACCTTGTCAATATGGTGAACTTCTTCATTTCTTCATTGAAGCACAAAACAAAGCTACCCGGCTACCCCCAGACGCTTCAGCTGGGTCACATCCTGGGTCATTTTCCACCGTAATCGATCCAGCGCTGTTTTGGAAGTCCACTCCATCACACTGCTGAGACGATGAGCCAACTGCCTGGCAAAAGATTGCATATTTGTGTTATGTGTGACAAACACTCCAATCACTACAGTATGTTGCATGTCATGAACAATTGCTCCAAGGTCCAAACCTAGTCAGAACACCGATCTGAGACTGAAACACTGAAAAAAGGTATTACTTACCCTTCACATCCAGCCAAATTGCAAAAATAGAAGTTTCTTTCAATTTTTCTTCACTGACTTGGGCCATTTCACTCAGCCCGTGAATCCCCATTTCACCTTCAAGTCCACAATTCCCACGTCTCCATCCACACTGACCACTTTGATGGAGAAGGAGTTGGTGAGCAAGGAGCCTTCATAGCAAGCCTCCGTGACGAATCACTTGACAGAAGATTGCAATGGATAGACTGATAGACGTTGTTGCAACAAAGCTGATGTCAGCAAGAAGTTGCAACGTGCGCCAGGGCACAGGAGTCTGTGGAAGCGACCCAGCACCTGTGCAAGCAGCATCGTTCCCACGAAGTGCAGGAGTGCCGCTCTCCTTGCGACATTCTTGGGCGTCTTTGTTTCGAAGGTATCTTGAGATTCTTCCCCTTTGCAAGCCCTGCCCTCTTCTCCACCCCTGCCTTGCCCAAAATCAAACAAGGGAGTGCAACGAGAAGGCGAAGAGTAGTGCTCATCATCGCGGGGCTGCTGATTGGATGCTTTGATCCGGGAGCTTGACTTGGTCCGGGATTGAACCTTGTGCAAGATCTGTGAGCCGAGGTGAACCTAGCAGAGCACCTTTGCTGCATACTCTGGTGCACACTACCCTTCTTGGTGTCAACACATGTTTTAACCTCTCTGACTCCCGCAAGTGTTCAGCTCATGAAGATGATGCGAATCTGCAATGCCATTCACCGAGCCAGCCTTTTTGTCTCAGATCGAAAAGGAGGTTCCCTCGGAGTGAAAATCAAAGTTTTCGTGGATATATTGACTTCGGGTTGCTATTGAAGCTTCACGACTTGGAAGTTCCGGGACCACTTCCACGTTTGTGGTGCTGACATTTAGCAGTGTGGTCACGGCCACAAGCCGCAAAGAAGCTTCTAGCTTCTGACGAACAAAAGAGTTAAACCTATCTACACCGGCCTCAGCAATCAAATCTAAGATCATTTCGCGATCACTGTTTTTTGTGGCTCGAGACTCCTTTGCATCGACCGAGTCAATGATTTGATTAATCAGCATGTCATCCTTCAATAGACTCTTCTTTACAGACTGCTCTGCTTCCGGCACGAATCCGCACGCAACTTCTGCTCCCACTTTCCATGCGATATAAATCTCATAGAGGCACCAAGCTCGTGTCAGAAGGGCTGGCCGCTCATGTGGGATTAGGGCCAGCAGCATGCAATTTGGAACTTTGATTGCTTGAGTCAGAGCCTGCAGCATGGTGTCATACATGTTTGCTATACTGCCATCCATTGGATCGGAGGCCTGCACTCCAGACAAGTCAGCAAAGTCGTGCTGATTCATGCTGAAGATATCCAACCAGAAAAAATTGTTTGTGTTGGTATTTTCATCATAGCGCTTTAAAATAGCCGTGAGGTGGATGTACGGGCTCGACCACGAATGACTGACCATGACAGTTGGTTCTCCGACATGATCACAACTCATCTTTTGCTTTGAAGAAGAAGATTGCGATGTCAATCCAACGGCCAGGCCCTCCCAAACAGAGCAATGCGCGGGCAAAGTCATTGGTCTGATCAGCTCCACACAGAGGTCGGAGGTTGTGGGCTCCTGAGACGTCTGACAAAGTAGCCATGATATAAACAAAACCTGTTTATAGAACCTGTAAGCCTGCCCTTTTCTCTTGCCGAATCCTGTGACATGAAGTAAACATTTGGGAATGCAACAGGTCTACAAGCCCAGATTCGAAAATAAAATCACCACTATAATAGACTATATATATATACAGTAACCTCTTAGTCATATTGCGGACTTCATTCAAAGAAAACCAACGCATGTACGCTTTCAAGGCTCCTCTTGACTCTGGCCCTCCATGAGGCAAACGTCATGAAAACCAGTTGCGACACTTTGCGATATGCCACGATGCCAAACAGGAACTGAGTGGGTCAATGGCTTTCCAGCTGCTGCCAGAGTAGCAACACCATGTCGCACGAAAGTAGCTAACCTCTGCGGGTCAAGGAAAATTTTCGAAGTGGAATTCTTTGTCGCATCCTGGAACGACAGAATCACTTCGAGCGTCAGCAACACCAAAGAGAATAATGCGAAGCAAACCAGGACAAAACAAGTGTACAAAGTGCCTGAAAGACTCCTGACAAACGGTTCCGCCGCTGGAAGCAATGCAAACAAAGCATCCAACACCCCGATCAGCAGAAAAACACCTATGGCCAATTGCGTGAATCGCAACCGATGCAATAAATGGCGTGGAATGTCTCCCGGCAATTTGCTCCGGAGTCTTCGCAAGCCTTTGAAAAGCACAGCAAAACCTACAGCTGGAACCAATCCAAAAAAGGAGTAGCATTGCACAACGTAGAAAGTCCCAGAAAGGACGGCTCGGGCATTACTTGTCTCCAACAAATAGACCAAGGTCCAGAAAGGCACTAGAAACACCACCTGAGCACCCACGGATATTGTACCAACCGTCTTGCACACCTTCAGGCCAATTCTCTGCCTTTTGGGTTCCAATGCATAGACCAAACGAACGGCCTCAATGCAAATATCCCAGTACACCAGCATCATAAGTCCAGCGTGGGATAGGGTGTCACCAATTGCCCAAACCGCGTGCAAAGGCAAGTTTGTGGAAGGCAGGTATCTGGGATTTTCGGCTCTGATCCAGAATTGTGGAAGACAAAGCAGAAGGCCGAGAACCATGCACCCAAAGCTCAATATGCGAAAGAATGGTCTCGAAGTGTAACACAGATTGAAACCATAGATCAGAAAGGCCAGGGCATTTAAGCCTACACAAATGCAAGTACAAGTAGAGATCACTCCAACAACTCCCACAGGGATTGGAATGCATGCCCGCATCCAGTCATCTTCTAGGCAGTCCATTGCAAAAAACTAAAAAATTGTTTGAGTTCTTACGGCAGAGGATGCAAAAACTAGGAAAATCACTGAGAGCAAACACAAGGAACTGATTGAACCATGCTCCGATCGTGCAAATCGTCGGGCAACGTTCTGATGATTGCGCAACAAGGTAGCGGCCAAAAACAACCCCACGCACTCCGTGTCCAAAACGCACATGTCACTGATTAAATGGTTGGTGATCTGTCAGCTGTCTCAACGAAACGAGCAAAAACAATCACCACTAAAGAAACATTGCCCAAACTGGCTGAAATCGTCTAGTCAGAGAAGGCCACAACTTGCACGCCCGTGGAAACAAATTTTTATCCAACTCACAAAACCTATAATCTATATATATATATACACTGTGCGGGTGAAAAAAGTGAAAAGTAAAACCACAAGTGGAACAGAGACTCACATGGTTGTAGTCTTCCAACGAAGCATGCACTCCATAATCACTGCCAATTGAGCCTTCAGGTAACGTCTTCTGAAATGACTGTGCAAACACGGGCTGCGTCCGCCTTGGAAAAAAAACAAAGAGCATTGTGGTTGTGTGTGTGGATGTGTTCACCGCAGGGATGTATTGTGACCATCCGTCGGCATGACCTGTTCCAACGCTGTTCATGCGCACGTACGCCTGTTGAAAGCACCACTCTCCTGTGAAGTTTGATTTCACTTTCAGTTCCTGTTGTGCCGAAACTGTTCCTGCATTAATTTTGTCACATCCATCGTGTTGGTGGCTGGTGGTCACTCTTGTGGTAAAGGTCAACCTAGACGACGAGTGGCCCGAAAACATTCTTCATCACGCGTGAAGTCAGAGTGTGAGTTATGTGTTAAGTGTTCAGTCTGAAGTGTTAAGTCGAGTGTGTGTGTTCAGTCTGGTTCCATGAACGCACTTTGGCCACACGGTCTGTCCACACACTAGAAGCACACACATCACATGACACCCCTAATCATTCCGCTCACCAGCGACACGCCGAGTTTACGCCAGTGTTTCGCGCTCCCCAGTGGCACGGCGCCACGCAAACGCTTCCCACCAAGGCCGCGCAAATCCCGTTGGCACAGCGACATCACAAACGTGCTTGGGCCACACGGTCTAGAAGCAAACATATCACACGACACCGCCAATGCTCCCGCTACACGCCCGTTCACGCCAGCATGTTTCGCGCTGCGCTCCCCAGTGGCACGGCGCCCCGCAAATGCATTTTCCACCAAGGCCGCGCAAATCTCCACGCCGTGCTGAAGTTGTACTGCCAAGTCGCCAGTTCTCATCTTCCAGCTCCCCAGATACTCCACGTTCTAAAGTTGTACTGCCAAGTCGCCTTCCAGCTCCCCAAACACTCCGCGCACAAAGTTGTACTACCAAGTCGCCAGTTCTCATTCCAGCTCCCCAGGCACTCCCTGCAGTGAAGTTGCGCTGCCCAATCGCCAATTCTCATCTTCCAGCTCCCCAAATACTCCGCGTGCCAAAGTTGCACCATAAAGTCGCCAGTTCTCATCTTCCAGCTCCGCAGATACTCCGCGTACTGCGTACTAAAGTTTGCTAAAGTTGCACTACAACGTCGCCAATTCTCAGCTTCCAGCTCCACAACCTGCTCCGCGTACTAAAGTTGTGCCACAAAGTCGCCAGTTCTCATCTTCCAGCTCTTGGCACTCTCGGGCGCTGGGGCTGGTGACTGTGAGCTGGCTGCGTGCGCTGTTAACTTGGAGCCTGGTGCTAGTGCCGCTGCAGAGTGCTGCCGGATGAGCGGCCACGTGCGCTTTGGAGATTCCACTAAGGCGCCGCTATGGTGCTGCTCACAAATATCTTCGCTATCTGGGCTCAATTGCAGCCTTTCAGTCAAGCAGCCAGCTGGTTAGGCTGCACAAAGCCCAAAGCACTCTTTGAATCGTTCTCTCTTCTTCTGTCCTCGTTTGCATTTTTTGGCCATGAGGCGTTGCTCCTGCTTGCTGCCAAGAGGCAGCGGCTCTGAAGGCGCACGCTGGGTGTTGTGATCTTACTCTGCTTGCGCGAAACGATCAAGCTTGGCAGGCTGCTAAAGGCCTTTCTGCCGCTGACTTGCAGCTGCTCCTGAACCGCGCTGAAGGTGACAGGCCAACCACGCGCAAGGCCAACCTTGTCATGCAGAGTCTGTTGCAGGTGGCGCTGGCGTCGCCCTTAGTTTCGCCAATGTGTCTTAGAGATTGCGTGACCGTTGATGTGCCCACTGCAGCGACATGTACTTGGCCCCGTCCCTGTGACGACGTGTTTACATGTGGATTGCTGACTAAAGAATTCACCAAAAGCGGATTCAGCTGCTTTGGCAGGTGCCGGTGGAGGCGGTGGTGCTGCAGGCAAGCCATGTTTTGCAATGTCACGAAAGCCAGATAGATAGGCTATAGCGGCTAGGCTGGAGTTGGGTTGCGCGAACGAAGTGAGCAAAGGGGGTAACGAAGAAAAGTATTTGCAGTTTGGGGGTGTTTTGATGCAGGTGATGTAATTGACAACTACTTTCGTTGGAAGGACCTCTGGGTGCCTCTGGACCCGTTCCATGTGTCTTGTGCCAGGAGGGTGCCAACGCTATTGATCACTGGCTCTCCTATTGCCCTGTTGCGCACATCACATGGTGTGCACTGTGCAAAGGAAGTCCACCACCCATCATGTCAAGGTGAGCGGACCTTTTGGACCACACGCGCTACGGTCGAACGGAGTAGTTTCAACTAGCAAATAGTGCACCTATACACATGACAAATCTTGACACGCCGCCTCGGACTTAGCCGATTCTAGGCTATGTTCTCTTTCTTGTCATGAGGCACCCTTGTCGTGTAAAGGGTCACAGGAAAGTCCGCCTCATTCTTTGATGCATACCCTGTACACATCGTTCCGGCAAAAGTAAACGCCATTCCCATAAAATGCTGTACAAATTCTCACACATTGAAATCAAACGTTCAATGTTCAACTGTCGTAGTGCTTTGTGCTCCTGGTTCAGATGGTTTCAGGAAGCACAATCGTGTATATAGAGTAAGTTGTTGGTTCAGCTGGTTCCAACAACCTACCCTCTTGAAATTGTACATTGCAAATTGAAAATGTTGTAAATTGCTCCATTGCTCAATGTCCTGTAGAACCACTAGGCCGTTCTGGCCCTTCATCCAACTCCACGTCGCTCGAATCTGATGAGTAATGGTGAATACCCATCCACATCTCGGGGTCTGACACCTCATCCAATGTACTGTTGAGGTACCTGGCGACTCTGGCGTCTTCACTGTCAGCGTCTGTTGTTCCTCCACCTTCATCTTCTTCTCCGTCTCTGTCAGGCCTATTGATGGCTTGAGGATCATCCACCAAAGGCTCAATGCTTCGTCCTGGAACTCGACTTGACCTGAAATACCCATCATATTCATCCATACGTTCATTCAACCTTTCAAGCCCTGCTTCTGGTTCTGCACCTGGCTCCAGCAACTCTGGAATTTCTGGTGCTCTTGGACTCTCATCATCCACTGAAAGATCTGTCATCGACTGACAAAAATAATGCGCACGTCGCCTTGCAACTTCTCCAGGGTTTTGCTCTAGAATTGCCAACGTCGATCTCAAAATCTCTCGTCTCTTCTCATATTTCTTCCTCTCCAGTTCAGTCATGCGTCCAGCTCGTCTCTCCAAACGCCGTTGAACTCTGCCTAGCATCCAGTACGTGAACCATTCAGGTGACCAGACTTCCCACCTAGCCGGAGGATCTGCTGGCATTGGTGGGAATTGTGGAGGACGAGGTTCAACACTGTTTGTTGCTGTAGCTGGTACTGCTGAACTACTTGTTCCTGGTTCAATGTTGTCATTTGAAACCACTTCACGTCTTCCTTCTGGGTCAGGTTCCTCTTCATCTCGTTCACTCATTCTCCTCTTGCGTCCTCGCGGTCCAAATCTGGCCGCCAGCTCGTTCCAATGATTGTAAACCCAATTGCACAATGCCACAAGCATCAAAACCAACAAGGTTAGATAAAACTGCTGTTGACTGTCTTGTTCGACATTCACACTTGCTCCATCTTAAACGCAACCTTTCATGCTCATTGCCTGCACAAAAAGTGAACACTGCACCATCTGTCGTACTGCCTTGTTTTTCATCCACCTGCTCACTTGGCGAACTTGGTTCTTCCACTGCTGTTCAGAAAAATAGTTCATTTGTTCTCGTTCTCCAATCTCTTCAATGACTTCGTTTTCGTCATTCAAACGAACTGCACCCATGAACGAAAGGAGAAACTGTCTTCTCGAGGCTGTGAGTTTCTTGGTGTTGAGGTCTGCTATGTTGACTTGGGTCGACACTGGTAACACCTGTAGTATCTTGTCGTGAACTGCTTGTTGCAACCAACAAAGTCGTACATCTATATGTTTGAGCCTCCCACGTCCTGCTCGCTGCAGCCACTGTCTGCCACTTGAGGAGTCACTGCGAGTTTCTAGTAAGGTTTCTTGTCCCACCATAAACATCCAAACTTCCTTCAACAACATGGCTTCACTTGCACCTGAGGTGAGTGCCAAAACTTCTGCTTCGCATGAAGACAATGAAACTGCCTTCTGGGTCCTGCTGTAGGAAAGAACCACTAAGCTATTCAAAAGAATCACAACTGACGTAGTCGATCTTCTGTTTGCATTGCCTGCCCAATCACTATCACAGAAAATCTCCATGACATCAACACTATCTTCGATCTCATGTTCTGGTCTGTTGTTCAACCTGCCTGACATACGTGTGCCAACTTGTATGTAGGGAAGCCGAAACGACAAATCTGCTGTGTTCTTGGATACAAACAAAGTTGGATCAAGCACCGTTCTGCCTGCTCTGTTGGGGTCCTCATTGATCCAGCCAATGTTTTCACACAATGCTGTATATCCAACCTTTCATGAGACATGTACATTGCCGTGCCAAGACCTGTTCGAAAATTTGCTTGCCTCTCATTGCTCAACTCTGGTGATGTATCTGGTCGTCCAAGCAAACAATGTTCAGGCACCTGTTTCTCTTTCCTGTCCTGCAAACCGTACAACTCAATCAGAGT